GGCCCTTCCTGTCGACATGGTGTCTGTGGAAAGATCCATGGCCGTCAAACTCTATAGACCTCAGCAAAGGCCGTTGATTCTCATCAGTGTTTACTTACATGCTTCAGATCGCACAGCTGCCAGCCGTGCGCTGGGTGCGCTGTTCGAGTTTGTTGCTGCTTGTGGTGAAGATACAGTGATCATGGGTGACTTCAATTTGGAAATTCATTGTTGGCCAATTTCTAACGTTTTGGCTACTGGACAGTGGCGGTCCTGTGATGAGCTGGTTTGCGGAGATCGTGTTTTAGGTGGTACACATCGAACTGCTGCAGGTGTTTATACAGGTGTGGTCATTGACTATGGCTTGTGCACTCCTCGGTTAATTATTACTGGTAGAGAGCAACATCTTGGCGTGGCTGACCATGACGCGGTGGTTTACAACTTGCATGTGCCTGGTTCATTATCCACACCGTGGACTCTCCCAGTTGGTGCCCCTTTGCATTCTGAAAAGGTTGTTGAAGCTTCTTGGCTAAGTGCTTGGGAAGAAGTATGTGACGATTTTGGAAATGCACTGAGTACAGGCAATGTGGACTCTGCTTGGACCTTACTTAGCAACTGCGCAGAATCTCTTCTTCTCGCACGTGGCAAAACTGGTCGTGCTATGCGCCAGGGCCCGCAGCAAATTGCCAGTCCTCCGTCTTCAAAAGCGCCTTCTTTGCAAACAGTGAAAGAGCGCAAGCTCAGACGCTTCGCACGAAGAGTGGTGGAGTACCAAAAGGCCCCGTTGCCAGAGTTGGAGAAGAAGTTGGTTCGTGATGGCCCTCATTTACATCATTCTTTGGCTTTTTTCTCTTTGGATGACCCCAGGTTGGTTAGTGCAGTGCTAGAATTGGCAAATGCAGAAGCTACAGCAGCGTCCAAGTTACGCTTGGAGGCGTGGAAGGACAGCGTGCAGGAAAATCCCACCAAACTAGGCAGGTGGGTCAAACAGGTGCCGCCCGCCAGTCCTACTGCAAGTTTTGATGGCCCCATTCTACCTGCAGATAGGGCCAAGTGCGCAGCATTGGATTGGGAGAGGTATTGGAATCCAGGGTCGCTTCCGAATTTGAATCTGGGGGACCAGTTGTACTCTCAGATTGGCTCTGCAAGCGATCCATTGCCGGATGACTGTATTCAGGTTAGTGGTTCTGAATTGGTTCGGATTGCGCTCAAAGCGAAGGACAAGGCTCCGGGCATGGATGCCTGGACAGCTCTCCATTTGCGCAATCTTCCCATTGCTTTTTGGGATCAGGTCGGTGCTCTTTGGGATGCTTGCTTGCGACATGGCTGTGTTCCTACGATGTGGAAAGATGTTAGAATTGCTTTGTTACCAAAAGCTACTGGTGGCATGCGCCCTTTAGCCATTGTCACTGTCCTGTGGCGTATTTGCATGAGTGCCACTCTGAAAAAATTACAGCCTTGGATTGCGGAATGGGCTTCGCCCGAACTTTTTGGTGGTCTACCAGGCAAGGGCATCATGGAAGTCCATGAACGTTTCTACGAAGCTGTCAGCGCGGCAAAGCAGTCTCGTGTCGATTTGGTCGGGTGCAAAGCTGATGTTCGCAAGTGTTTTGATTCAGTTTGCCCTCAGACAGCCATTAAAGTGTGGCGATGGTTCGGTGCTCCCTCATCAATTTGTGATTTACTCGCTGATTTTTACAGTGAACAGCGTCGTTGGTTTGCTTGGCAAGGTTCTTATCACCCTCATCCGGTTATTGCTCAACGGGGTTTGTTGCAAGGCTGTCCAGCCAGCCCTGCGCTACTGAACGCTTTGATGACAGTTTGGGTGAGGTTTGTCAAACGGCAGGAACCAAGGATTTCTTTGGCTATTTATTTTGGACGATCACACCATGTGGAAACAAGGTTGTCAAAGTTTTGAAGTGGTCATCAACGCCATGACTGCGGGAGCGCAAGCCGATGCTATTCTCGGCTTCGAACTTCACCCTGACAAATTGGCTAGCTTCGCCACCAAACCGCATCTGGTTGCCAAGGTGCGCAAGAAGAAAGATTTAGTAGGTGTACCTGCGGATACTTTCACACTGCTTGGCATTCAATACAATTTGTCACGCCCCAGTTCTTGTGTTGATACGGATATTGTCAGTGACAACATTCAGCGACGATGTCTCAAAATTCGTTTGGCAGCACAGCACTTAGGCACTCGCATTGCATTGGTGCATAAGTTGGTGATATCTTTATTTGCTTGGTCCGGTGCTTTTCATCACTTCAGTGCAAGAACCATTCGAACATGGACATCTATGATCGAAACTGCACTTTGGGGTCGAAGGGCTCCTCCAGGTAGGAGCCGGCTGCTCTTTTGGAATTCTTTGGGTTCTGCAAGACTACATCCGATGTTTGCACTCCAGTTCACCGCCGCCCGGGCGGAATGGAATCGGCAATGCCGCCGTGCCCAAGGGTTGCCTGCAGCTACCTCGCCTGCTCCTCGCTGGAAAGCAGTACTCAAAGATTGGAAATGGCGACTTGACGATGGCCTGTGGCACACGCCTGCTGGGATTTTGAAACCTGGGTGGATGTCTTTGAAAAGCTTGCAAAAGGCCGCTATCCATTCATGGCTCGTTGGTTTGTGGACTAAGGACACCAAAACGGATGGTCGATGGCCAAACGGCAAGGAGCCGGTTTTCCTTTTTCAGGCAAATGCAGCTTTAGGCATGGATTACTACAGTCGCAGGGTTTTGACTGGTGCTGCAGTGGATGGCAGGGTCACAGAGCTTGGTTCTGCTTTGAGTTGTGAATGTGGATTGCGGTCTCCTGATCGAGAACATCTCACTTTTCACTGCCAAGCGCAGCCATGGGATGGTGAGTTCAGGAGCGCTACTGAACGTCGTTTGCTGGTTCCACTTGTGGATGCTCCTCCTGTGTTGCCTTTTTCCAACATGGTTGCAGATCCTGCTTTGGTTACTTTTATTCAGCAATTCGATCCTCTTCAGCGACCCACCTTGGGTTTGGACGGCAGTTGTATCATAGCTACTTCCTGTGATCGATGGCAAAGAGCTAGCTGGGCGGTTTCGACACTTTCAGGCACCACTGTTCAAGGTGCCGTGACTGGTTTTGAGCAAACACCTGCTGCAGGTGAGCGTGCTGCTCTTCTGGAAGCTTGTTTAGCCTCTTCTGCAGCTAACAGACCGGTGATGCTCTTGATTGACAATCAGGCTTTGGTGCGGCGGCTTCAGCGAGGCATTAGCACTGGCCGTTGGGGGGGGGACTTGCCGCTTTTCTGGCAGCGGATCAGCGGCTTATTGATTCAGGGCACTGTTTGCACTTGGATCCCTTCTCACAACAAGGTGCCTGACTGGACACCACCAGATGGTTGGATTGATGTTCATCTCTGCCGCGTTCTCAATGCGACAGCCGATGCTCAGGCAGGTGAGGTGTTGCGTGACTCACGCTCCATGATCGCTGCGGCTGTGCAGCGACATCAGCGAGCCGTGGCTTGGGCTGCAGCAGTTTGGTGTCTGCAGAGGCTACGGACTTTACCTTTTTGGCAAGTCGTACTTGATCAACAAACATTCCATGCGGAATGCTAGCTGGCGCACTGTGTTTACTTCTTTTTTATTTCAGGCAGGTTTCGCTTCCTTTGAGTTTTGCTTGGAGAAGTATGGGAACTTGATTCTCGCAGATGGCATACTATGGCGTCTTAACTACTTCACTTCGGTGAGGAGCAGGTTGACGTCCGCTTACAACAACAACAACGACACCATTTACGAGGATTTGGTGTTGCTTTGAGGAGTCGATTGCAGCCTGGCGCTCAGTTTGTCTCATTGAGCACACTGAGCTGTGAGTTCTTTGATTGTGAAATTCTTGGAACTTCCCAAAAATCTCAGGTCTCAATCTTCACATGTTGTGGCTAAATTGCTAAATGTGACATGAGGTGGAGGAACGGGACACCAACTCTTTGCTACTTGATGTTGCTGCCACAGATCTTTGCCATGTTGCCCATGTCATCACTGATGGCTTAGTCGGTGCTGAGACCCGGGTTCTCCCCATCTTGGGCTTGCTCTGCAAGTCACGCCGTGAGCAATCCTTTCCAATGGATTTGCTTCAGAAAGGCCTCAGCGTTGACATTGCTACAGCACAAGCATCCAAAGAAGAGGACAAGACACGGATTTTGAACTCCGTGCGATGTCCGCGAGCCAGGACATGGGCGTTGGACACGCCTTTTCCAACGCAGCACCCCCGCTATGATGCCGTCAACAGAGCTTTAGCCTCCCACTTTGCACTGACCAGCATCCAGCAGTCATATCGGAACGGACAACAAGCCCCATCAACCCTGTGGCAAGCACTACGGTCAGATGCAGAAAGAAGGAACATCCAAGTGTCACTGACAGGTTGCCACAATTTCCGAGACCCGGACTTGCGGATTCTCATCGACAACCTGCCAGCCAAACTGCAAAGTTTACGGCTCGATCTTGCCTACACTGGTTTGGAGCGTTTGGATGATCTAGCGGGTGCTTCCTTCGGAAACGCCCTTCAGACCCTAGTGATTCGCTTCGCAGGATCTTTAAGAAGCATTTCGGGCTTGTCTGCTTTGCTTTGCCCTTCCTTGAGACGTTTGGAGCTGTGGCTGTCAGACCTTCCAGACTTAGAGGGCATCGAGCTGGGCGTCAGCAACAAGGCATTGTTGAAGCTTCGTTTGGAGGAGCTTGCAGGGTAGGTTGAGACTTGTTTTCTCACCATGTGACCACCGCGCATCCTTCTAATTTATTGTTTCTATGGAATTTCGAGAGCTGTTTGCTTTTGGAGATTGAAGGAGCTGGTCTTGTATGTGAACGGCTGTCCCAGCGTACCACGCGAATCCAAGACAGCATTGAAGCTTGGTGTGGTTTAGCTTTACCCAAAGACGTTGATCATATTCGAAAAAATGGAGATGACCCCATGAGAAGTTGTCATTGTTCCATATTGTTCCACGATGTTCCACGTGACAGAAAAACATGTCATTCAAAATGCGATTGGCTTCAATGAATTGAAATGACAAACGGAACTTGCTCAAGGTTTGCTGCCACTCGGCAGCTGAAGCAGTGCCTGCGACGCCGGCCTTACATGTGGGTTCACATCGAGGACGGTTTCAGAAATTCAATCTGGTTCAAAACACCACCGTGTTGAAGCACGGTGTGCCCAGAAATGGCAGATTCAATGGTATGGCACTTTTAACAATTAATCTTCCATTCAATGCCAGCCTGGCGCAAAGTTGCAACTTGCAATACAACTTGCGCCGCACCTTGTGCTGATTCCCAGGATACAAACACCTGGACGCTGAATCTCTGCCTTGGGAAGCACAAGGCATGGAACGCAGTCAAGCCACGTCGCACCGGCCCGCAATGCAAGATGCAACGTAATGTGTAACGTAATGTGCCAAGTAATTGCCACATTGATGGTAATGTGATTGCTTAAATTACGAAAGCCAGCTGGGAAGCTGGCTAGTTGTTATTCCCGAACGAAGTGAGAATAGGGGGTGTGGGGGGAGGTAGCTGCTTCAAGTTGCCGAAAACGTCATATATAGAATAGATGGTGTTTTAGGCATGCGAAAGGTATGGTTTTGCAGGGTAATATACGATGCGGCAAAACAGCGACGGTGGGTATCGATTCCCCCTACTGTTGATGGAAGAAATCCTGCACCACTTTCAAAGGCCTACACTTAAAGCCTCGCGCTCCTAATTTAATATTGTTTGAAGACGCAGTGATCAAAATGGATTTGTGCGATTGACGGAAATCCTGCACCACCTGTCAAAATGTCATTCAACATTGAGCTTGGGGGTACGGGGGTACAAGTTATGCATTAGCAAATCTAAGGTTATAGAAGTGGTGCAGGATTTCTTCCACCCACCGTAGGTCCGGTTGCTTTCCTGGTCCATGGGTCAAAAGTATGTGGGTGAAACGGATATGGGTGAAAACTCTGAGGGTGCAAAGTCTGTGGGCGAAAAGTGTATGGGCGAAAGTCTGCGGGTGAAAAGTCTGTGGGTGAAAAGCCCGTGGTTAAAAGTATATAGGTGAAACGGGTATGGCTGAAAAGTCTGAGGGTGCAAAGTCTGTGGGTGAAAAGAGCGTCGGTTAAAAAGTTGTGGGCGAAAAATGTATTGGTGAAAGTCCCTGGGTGAAAAGTATATGGGTGAAAAGTTTGAGGGTTAAAAAGAACGTATATTTGGTCAAGAGTCTCTGGGTGAAAAGTTTGAAAAGCCTGTGGAAGAAGAGTCTCTGGGTGAAGAGTCTCTGGGTGAAAAGTATATAATGAACCTAAAGGTGTCGTGTCTCTTCATACATTAAGTGTAACAATATATAAACGCTAAAGGTGTCGTGGCTCTTCTTACATTAAGTGCAACAGCATATAAACCCTAAAGGCGTCGTGTCTCGCCCTAAAGGTGTCGGGCTCTTCTTGCACTAAGCGCCACAACATATATGCCCTAAACGTGTCGTGGCTCTTTTACACTAAGTGTAACAACAAAAAACCTAAAGGTGTCGTGCCTCTTCTGGAATTGAGTGCCACAACATATAAACCCTAAAGGTGTTGTGGCTCTTCTTACATTAAGTGCAACAACATATAAACCCTAAAGGTGTCGTGGCCCTTCCTACATTACATATAAACCCTAAAGGTGTCGTGGCTCTTCTTACATTAAGTGCAACAACATATAAACCCTAAAGGTGTCGCGGCTCTGCTTTTTATGCCCACAGTGGTCCCATTTATGCCCAAAGTGAGCCCATTTATGCCCAAAGGGAGCTTATTTATGCCCAAACAAAATGAACCCATTTTTGCCCAAAGTGAACCTATTTATGCCCAAAGTGAACCATTTTATGCCCAAAATGAGCCAATTTTTTTTGCCCAAAGTGAACCTCAAAAAATTATGCCCAAAGTGAGCTCGAATTTGTGCCCAAAGTGAAACCCTCGCCTGCGAAAAGTCCGTGGCTAAAAAGTCTGTGGGTGAAAAGTGTGCGGGTGATAAGTCTGTGGATGAAAAAATTATGGGTGAAAGTCCGTGGGTGAAAAGCATATGGTTGAACAGCCTTGGGTGAAAAGTATATGGGTGAGAAATATAATGGGTGAAAGACGGTGGGTGAAGAGTCTGTGGGTGAAAAGTTTGTGGGTGAAAAGTATATCGGGGAAAAACCTGAATGTAAAATGTATATTGGTGAAGAGTCTCTGCGTGAAAAGTCTACGGGTGAAAAGTATATGGTTGAACAGCCTTGGGTGAAAAGTATATGGGTGAGAAGTATATGGGTGAAAAACTGTGGGTGAAAAGTCTGTGGGTGAAAAGTCTGTGGGTGAAAAGTATGTGTGTGAGACGGGTCGGTATGGGTGAAAAGTCTGAGGGTGCAAAGTCTGGGTGAAAAGTCTGTGGGCGAAAAATGTATGGGTGAAAGTTTGTGGGTGAAAAACATATGGTTGAACAGTCTTGGGTGAAAAGTATATGGGTGAAAAACCTGTGGGTGAAAAGTCTCTGGATGAAAAGTCTGTGCAAGAAGAGTTTCTGGGTGAAGAGTCCCTGAGTGAAAAGTATAGGGGTGAGAAGTATATGGGTGAAAGACTCTGGGTGAAAAGTCTGTGGGTGAAAAGTATATAGGTGAAAAGTCTGTGGGTGAAAAATCTTTGGGGGAAAATAGGGGTAGATGGGATGCTGGTTTTCGTTCCCCCCTTCTCATGTTCGTGCCACGTAATGTAATGGAACCATATGGTTTCATAATTGTTTCGTTCGTTCCAGCGGCATATTTCGAAGGCTCCGTTGATGATTTGAACTCATTTCGTGGCTGTTGATCGATGCGATGTTCATTTTGATTTGCACAGGTGGGTCGTTCACAAAGCCACCTTGAGATAGGCGGGCGCCGGTTACAAGTCACACTTGCCACCTTCGAGCCAAACAGAAATTCGACAGGTATCAACAAATTGCCAGAGGTTCATTGCAGTGACCACATGTAGACATGAACTGCAGACAGTTGGCAGAGGTTCACCCAGTTCACCCACGCCAAGCGCAGCTTCGCTGGCCGAGATTCCAGAGTCACAAATCGAACCTCGACCCAGGGAACCCCAGGATGCATAGCTCCAAGTTGGCATGGCTCCCTGACACCCTGAGTTCAAGAGAGTATTTGCAGGAAAAATGTCTTTGGATGTCTTTGGCCAAACATGGTTGTACCACTTGTACCATGTTTTCTCATAAATTGTCCCATGTGAACTAAAGGCAGGCTATTGAAGGTTCTTCCCGAATGCGTAGCAAGGGTTCCCATTTCACTCTGGGGGTTTGGGGGTTGAGGGTGTGTTCGCCGGACGTTGTGCAACCGTTCGCAGCCGGGCTGCACCTGTTTTTTTTCCGGCCTCCCCGGCTTTTTCCGGCCTCTCAGGATCCGTTCCCTTGCCATTGCTGCACGAAGTTCCACGGCAATTCTCATGGATACTGCGATGCTCATCGACTTGCCCGATTTTACCACAATGCGTTCTCCAGATGTCATCTCGTGCCATGGATACAGACAGATTTGCTGTCATGGTTTGCATATGTCGTGATGCAACATTCTAGTTTTGAAAGAGTTGAGAATAGAATCTATGTAACATATGTAACCACTGGACCACATGTCTGCAACATGATCAACATGCTCTGCAACATGCTCTGCAACATTGTTGAGGTTGTGACCCATAGGCCCGCAGGCTCAAATCAACCCCAGACAAACAGCTCCGACTCTGCTGGCATTGCGCTCTGAGGTTTTTCAATACGCAGAGCTGCTGATGATTTTCTTTGTACAAGCCACGGCAGATATCGAATCGAGGGGCTTGCTGGCCTTGATTGTCATCTCTTTGCAGCTCGCACTTGAATCACCATGCTGTGCGGGCCGGTCACATTTCATTACCACATGTATGTTGTAACGTGTTTTCACATGGTGCTGCACATGACCATAGCTGATAGCTGTAGGTATCCTGTGCTCTGGATGAGCCTTGATCGATTGGTGGGGTCGGCCACCTCAATTTGTGTCGTGTTGATCTCGCTGCTCTTCGCATCTGTATCTTATGCTCTGCTGCGATTCGATCGGATGCACCGAGCGACTCTGGAACTGTCGTTGGCTTCTGAAGCCATTTGCTCACAGGCACCCCATCAAACCTATGGCAAACATGTGAAATACATGTGAAATGGATGGAAATGGGGGGGTACCGGAAAACCTTGGAAAACCATCCAGAAATCGGCTGTTTCCACTTACCCATGGACCCATTGCCAGATTACCAGAGGGTACTGCAGTGCATCGGACAAACCTTTCTAGCAACGAATAGAGTAAGTCTTTGTCCGAAAATTTAGTTTATAGTTTCAAATTATCCAAATAATCCACTCAATCAATCCATAGTTTTATAGTTTTTCTGTGTCCGAAATTTGGATTCTGAGCCTGGAGGCGATTCGTCCTGCGAACTTGTCGCACCTCTCTCTGGTCTTTGGAAGTTCCGCTGACGACTTCCCGAACACAGATTTGCGACAAAGCGAAACGGATTTGACGCTGTGAGCAAATATTTCAAAATGGTTTCAACCAACACATTTCACGCATTTCAATTTTTCTCATTTTGTACTTGATTGTTTTCGCAAAGAAAGTGCATGTTGAGCTGATAGCGGTCATGTAGGTCGCAAGCGACCCCAATCGTGAGCCAAGGACAAGCAACTTCCGTCAGGCACGGATTCACTTTCTCAGCTTTCAGACGCTAGGACAAGAAGTTTGGGTGACCATTCAGACTTGGTTCTTTCCAGTCTTTGCAGCCTCAAAAGTACAAAATCGGAAGCATGTACGACGGTGACTATCGGCCACTATCTCTTCTCTTTGACCCACTGCAGTCGCAAATTGCAGTGATAAGCATAATCAGCGCATAATTAGTGCCCCATCTGTAGGCAGTGGACATAATCATCAGATCCAGTCCCCTTGAGCATCGTTGAGCATGCAGATCCTTCGCTTTTCATAGGTGTTGTAGCTCGGGATTGCCTCAGGAATGCTCTGCGCCGAGCCCTGGACGAAGGTGAAGTGACGAATGCAACAGCACATGCAAAGATCAAGCGCCTCGCGGACCTAACGAGTCAAGGACGCCACGGCCACGAGTCAAAAGCCTTGAAGTCAAGTTGTGTTTTGTTCAGATTTGTTCAGATCTGTTCAGAGTTGCTCTGTGATTTGGACATGCTCCATTCACATTTCCAGGAGACCATGATGTTCTTTCTTGCGAAATCCATTGTGAATCCCTCCAGCAAGTTCAACTGGTGTGGCTTGCGCTGAGCAAAAGATTTCAAAGCGAAGAAGAACCGTGGAAGATCGTGGCATTGTGGGATGGATTTGCCCAAGAAGAAGAGCGCAGATGCAGCAAGATCGTGATGTCCATGAACGGCCAGCTGGCATATCTTGGCATGTCATTCACGGCATTTGATGCATTTGCAGGCCATTCAAATCATTCAAAACAGGACCGTTTCGCTTCATTCTCAAGTGGATAAATATGTTGAAACCGATGATACAATATGTTGATATATGTTGATTCATTTGCAACCATTTGCAACCTAACTTGCTCTAGCTTGCACATTTAGTACTGTAATCGTTGCTGAAGCGTTGCGAAGCTCAGGTTATTTGGCCACTGTCGTTCTTTGTGTTGCCTCCTTGACAAGGCTGCAGAGCAACCTCAGCGAACTTTGCCTTTTGGCGGATGCTTTTGGCCTCTTGGAGGATGCAAAGCCTCGAAGGTGGCTGCAACGTGACGGTCCAAATGCAAAGGGTTCAAGTTCTGGAGACCTGACAGCGAGTTTGCCTCGCGGCTCACAGATTTTGACTGCTCTTCTTCCGGTGCTTCTGTCACTGGCTCGTTTCATTGCTATGATCACGGCAGCTTATTTCACATGTCAATACTTCTTTCGCTATGGCCCTTCCAGCTTGCACGAAAGCATAGATCAACTGGAACAGCATCGCTTTGTCAAAGTCGCGTTTGGAGAACGCTTTGACGGCTCATGGTGGGATGCCTTGTGCTTATCAGTGCCTTATGCAGTTCTTGTAGTGGTTTTCGCACGCGATTTGCTTTGCTTTTCTGCTCCGACAGCTCAAAAACGGAAGAGCAGACAGCTGTCACAAATGGTCTATGACCGCTATTTTGGAGTTGAAGGCACCTACTACACGTTCAAAGTGGCTTTGCTACAGCTCCTGACCATTTTGCTTCAGGCGTTTGGGAAGCTTCATTTGCTCGGTGGCATCGCACTCTTTGCAGAACAACAAAGGCTCTCAGTTGCAGAATCTTTGAAGGCAGGGAGTTGGATGAATATGCAACAAACGCATGGTTAAACGATGTTAAACGGTTAATCAGGTGGATGACTTAGCCCTGAAGGTAACATTCTGGTTGTTTTGGGCGCTACTATTTTGCAACAGCGTCTACCCCAACATGCTCTTCATTTTCCCGGAGAGTATGCGGTGTCGCTACACCTGTGCGATGCTGGACGTTTTCTTTGATCTGGGATATGTTTTGAGCTACTTGGTGATGGTTGTGATTGGGACGACCGAGTTGCACGTGAACGTGTCTGTTTGGGGTAATTTTGGAGAGCGCTCGCAGCTGGGCTTTAGCAACAGCACCTTGCCACGCATTTGGTGCGATCAGGTCCTTCTGGTGGCTGGTCATGGTTTAGGGTGTTGCAAAACGTTTCATGACTTGGATTGTCTCAGATTGCATCAGGTATAAGTGCCAAATTCGCTTTCCCTTCAGAGTTCCTCCAATACATGGCAGTCTATGTGAGCATTGCTCACGTGTGCTGCGCTTGTCGTGCTGTTCAGAGAGGGAAAACGCCTGAGTTGGAAGCCGCGAGAGATGTCCGCCCGAAGGTTGTCCGGGCCCATGTGAGATGTCCATGGGTGAAACGCTTCCTGAAGTACATCTACTCACCATGTTTGACGGCGTTGCTTGTCTACTTGCTGATCTGTCAGGATGTTTATCCAGGGCACAGAGGAGACTTCACGTGCTTCCCTTGCCGGTGTTCCGCTGGACGACTTCAAAGCTGCACCTTGGCAGCGCAACTGCAGCAAGAGCAGCTTGTCATTGCTGGTGTCACCAGCATTGAGCCACAGGCATTCAAACCTTTGGGTTGCCGCCTGTCGCAGTTGTCGCTAGCAAACAATTCCATAACAAGCTTGAAACCAAGAAGCTTTGAGCATCTCCCTTGCTTACAGATATTGGATATCAGCCGGTCAAAACTCAGCATGCTGGCCAGGGACTCTTTCTATGGATTGGAGCAGCTGGAAGTGCTCTCCCTCCATGGGAACGAACTCCACAACATCTCAGGAGACCATTTATCCCATCTGCCATCCCTTGAGAAGCTTCTGCTTGGAAGCAAGCCAGGCTTTGACAATGAAACGCTGACAGATTACGAGTTGGAAGCTGGAAACTTGATCAGGTGTTTACCGCCCCGACTATTTGAAGGAAATCCGCACTTGAATTTTTTTGACATCAGTGGCAACAACATCACCAAAGTTGACCGAGACACTTTCGTTGGAGCGACAAACTTGCAAGTCCTGGACCTCGGTCAGAACAGCCTGCGAGAACTTCCTGAAGGACCGTGCACCTTCTCAGTGCTAAGCATATTAAAACATATTAAGAAATGCCGTTTTGACTTCTCAAAATGGTTTTGGCAAAAAATGTCTGTGCACTTCCCGAAGGACTCTTTGCTGGTCTCTCGAGGCTCCAGAACGTGTTGCTGCACAACAACCAGCTCAGTGCACTTCCCGATGGTCTCTTTGCTGGTCTCTCGGGGCTCCAGAAAGTGTGGCTGGATCATAACAACATCAGTGTGCTTCCCGATGGACTCTTTGCTGGTCTCTGGAGTCTCCAGGCAGTGTCGCTGGATCACAACCAGCTCAGTGCACTTCCCGAAGGACCCTTTGCTGGTCTCTCGGGGCTCCAGAAAGTGTGGCTGGACAACAACCAGCTCAGTGCCCTTCCCGAAGGACTCTTTGCTGGTCTCTCGAGGCTCCAGAAAGTGTGGCTGGACACCAACCAGCTCAGTGCACTTCCAGATGGACTCTTTGCTGGTCTCTGGAGTCTCCAGGCAGTGTCGCTGGATCACAACCAGCTCAGCGCACTTCCCGAAGGACTCTTTGCTGGTCTCTCAAGTCTCCAGAAAGTGTGGCTGGACAACAACCAGCTCAGCGCACTTCCCGAAGGACTCTTTGCTGGTCTTTCGAGTCTTCAAATTTTGGCGCTGAGCCACAACCAGCTCAGTGCGCTTCCCGATGGTCTCTTTGCTGGTCTCTCGAGGCTCCAGACAGTGTGGCTGGACAACAACCAGCTCAGTGCACTTCCCGAAGGACTCTTTGCTGGTCTCTCAAGTCTCCAGAAAGTGTGGCTGGACAACAACCAGCTCAGTGCACTTCCCGAAGGACTCTTTGCTGGTCTCTCGAGTCTCCAGGCAGTGTCGCTGAATCACAACAACATCAGTGCACTTCCCGAAGGACTCTTTGCTGGTCTCTCGAGGCTCCAGAAAGTGTGGCTGCACGACAACCAGCTCAGTGCACTTCCTGAAGGAGTCTTTGCTGGTCTCTCGAGGCTCCAAGTGTTGGCGCTGTACAACAACCAGCTCAGTGCACTTCCCAAAGGACTCTTTGCTGGTCTCTGGAGTCTCCAGAAAGTGTGGCTGGATCATAACAACATCAGTGTGCTTCCCGATGGACTCTTTGCTGGTCTCTCGAGTCTCCAGGAAGTGTCGCTGGATCACAACCAGCTCAGTGCACTTCCCGAAGGACTCTTTGCTGGTCTGTCGAAGCTACAGAACGCGTGGCTGGACAACAACCAGCTCAGTGCACTTCCCAAAGGACTCTTTGCTGGTCTCTCGAGTCTTCAAATTTTGGTGCTGAGCAACAACCAGCTCAGTTCACTTCCCGATGGACTCTTTGCTGGTCTCTCGAGTCTCCAGAAAGTTTGGCTGCACAACAACAGCCTCAAGGAAGGCAGTGGCTGAAGATATTTTCCCTTTGTCTTAAAAAATACCGAGATCGAGTGGGCTGCCATACATGTGGGATATGTTGCTGAACCGCCGTGCAATTGTATCCTGTCTTCCTGTTTATTGATACTCGTGTGTTGCTCAAGCACCGCGCAATTGTATCGCAGCGACACGGTTCCTGTCCCGGCATCCGGCGCTGGGAACCGATGCCAGGTTTCGGGTTTCGACAAGGCGGATGACCTTCATCATCTGGCAACGCTTGCGCCCATGGCACCGGGCGTCACCAAAAGCCATGCATTCTTTGGGATTCTCAGCTGCGCTTTTTGGATCTCCTTCTATCTCCTTGCGTTTTTTGGACTTTGAAACTTCGGAGTTTTCGTGCTCTTGGGGCTTTTTTGGGGCCCGGTTGCCGGTGCCAGACCCAGTGCCACAGTGCCACGTTCCGAGGAAGCCCTTTGCGACGACACACCTGCACAGGTAAACGGTGGACGTGTCAGGGATGGGATATGTGAACCACGACTATGGAATCTGGGAGCAAACTTAACACAAGCTCTAGCTGGTGCTCTTTCAATATGTAGCTTGGATATCGTCTCGCGGTTGAATTCATGATTGCATTGGCACAGGACCAAAGGTTACCATAAGTGTAACCATTAGTGACAAATACGATCAAATACGTAACAGCATGAGTTGAACACAGCTGTTGTAACTCACAAATCTGGTCCATCTGAGGGTTCACCGGGTTCGGTTCACGGTTCCGAGAGGTGCCCATAGCCTGTGAAGGCTTCAGCGGCTTCAGTCTCAACGGCGAGGCGCTCCTGCCAGGGATGCGAGCTGAGAGGCTAGGTACCAACTTGAAAGGCTGCATACCTACCAGTGGACTTTTGAACCAATTATGGTGGGGATTAGATATATAATATAATATAGATATGTATATTTATCTTAGCTATTGTCTATTGTTATAACTTATGATTAAATCTTAACTTATGGTGATGCTTACCGAAGTTATACTGTTATACCCATTTTTCACCCCAGCTGCAGCCCGGAGTAGCTTGGCAAGTGCCCATCACGGGGTGCATCACTTTGGAATTGGCCCAGGAGAAAGCGCATCACGTGACGGAGTTCTACGGTTGTTCCGGTCACGCGCTTGGAAGTCCATTGGAAAACGTTTCAGCCAATTGCTGAGCCACCTGTTTGTATTTCGTTACTTTGTTTTCACTTAGTTTGCCATTGCTTTCGATGCTTACGGCTCAGGAATTTTCACAACTTGACTGCGCCAATCATATCGGTTCTCAGCAGGATGAAATCGTTTTTTCCCGGAAAGGTTTTACAGCAACTAAAACTGCAACGGAAACAAAACATTCATAATGCGGCCAGGCTGCGAAGGAAGTGATTTCCGAAAAACCCGGACGGGTTTTTCTGCATCCACCTGTAATTTCCTGAAGAAAAACTCTCCGGCAGAAAAGTCTCCGCTGGTTTTCCTGCTGATTTCAGGAAATCTCCTGAATCTCCTGCAACTTTTTTCCAGCAACTTGGATTGTGACTATCTTGGACTTGGATTGTGGTTATTTACTGTACAAGCATTTCTGCATGTAGCTTCACTTATTCATCCAGATCCCCAAGCAGTTCTTGGCACGATGAAACTATGATGAGGTTCATGCTTGGATGATAGTAGCAGTTCTAACTCTCTTTTCAGAGGTTTCACGGCAAGGACCATGAGACTGCCTGATTGGAGTGATTTGTGTGGTCATTTGTGATGCAGCGCGCTCCAAAACTCTTGGCCAGGGTGCGGAGTGGAGGGTCTGGTTCTTCAATCATCCAGATTTCATGGCTTTTGTTTGTGCTTCCACCGATCCAGTCAAACCAAAGACACCATCTTTACATGTTCTTCAGTGACCACCGTTGCAATATGTTTCACTTCTGCATGGACATCCGGTTACGGTTGTTTTCTTCACACTACATGGTGCCACGTTCACTAGGTCAAAGGACAATAATGAATTTCAGTAGTTTGAGTTATTTTCAAGCTGTTTGCCCGTGTGATCAAACTAATTTTCAGATCGAACATAAATTTAAATTCCGCATGCCTGCAGAAGGAAGAACACGTCTTGGGAAGAGCATCTTGCACAAACCGGCAAGACGCATTCATGCAGACGAACATGGATGTGATATGATGTGATTGCAAGGTGGGTTCGAGCAATCACTCTTGGAAAAGGTCGACATTTTTAAACCCCACGGCATAGATTCAAGAACCAAAGAAAAGGAAGCAGGAAAAGAAGCAGGAAAAAGAAGGAAACAAAGGAAAGAAGAACGAAGGAGAGAAGAAGAGAAAAAACATAAACATATATGAAGTATTATGAAGTTATGTAGATTGAAATGAATCGACACCTTTTCACTAGGTTATTCAAAGTCCAACCTTGAAGGGAACTTTTTGGAACCCCTTAAACGCCGGCATTGTTTATTCTGCATTTTTGATGTGATCAAAGATGTTGCCTTTGGTGTTTAGAAGGCAGTGATAGGCAGTGAAATCATGGGGTGAAGGGTTTTCTAAGATTCTGGAATTGAGCAAGTGACCAAAACAAGACATCCCGGAAAAGGCCATGGAGGCAAAACCTCGACATTCGAATTGCCGTGGCCTTGGATTGTTCCAGCAGCTGCAGCCCACTACACGGCCAGTGCAGGTTTGTTTGGTCCGAAGGTAAAAACATGCCAAAGGTTACGTGTCAAATGCCTATCAACATGTAGGGTTCCGCAGCTCAATTGACTACATATTTTGGACACAACCCTTTTTGGTAACCACGCATAGCAGTCGTTTTGGTGCTTTGTTTAATCAAACGGTCAAAGATGCAAAGATATACCGATTTCCTCTGTAAGGCACCAGGGGAAGGGAACATACAGCAAATTCACTGCAACGAAAGAACAAAAACGTTGGGTTTGAGGTGTTTTGGTTGATCAGGTATGCCCCCCTAGTGTCGTACGAAAAATTGCGCCTTTTTGAACATATATTTGGTGGGACAATTTATCCAGCTTACGGAGGAACAAATGAGGCAGTGAATCCTTTGAAACCATTTCCCCCTCGTCGTTTTCAGCATTCATCTTGGTGGTTCGGACACTTCGTGTCTTAGTGCGCCATGGGGCGGCTCGCAGATGTGGCATGGCCAGACGAAGAGGACGTCCCTCTAGTTTCGAACATAGCATCTTAGGTCAACACGAAGGGGTTGGTGACCTGCCACCATTGCCCTTAGAGCTGTTGGTTGCTAGGAACTTCGATGGCACCATCACTTCAAGGTTCGGAACGCGGTAGGGAGCAGTTGGCACGAAGGACGAAGGATGAACAAGTTCCCATATGCCGTGATCAGGTCAGCCTCCAGAGCACAAGCAGACAAAGTTTCTGCCCTACAGATCTTGCAGAACCCGGCGACGCCCACCGGTTCCGCACTGAGATGATAGGGGTGAGGACTTCAAGCACCACTTGTGGTTGAACAGTTTTGGCGGAAACATCGGCAGACACATGCACATGCACGTGCACATGTACGTGCACATGTACGTGCACATGTACATGTACCGCATGCACGTGCACGTGCACGTGCATGTGAAATCGAACTTGAAGATGCGCATCATCAACATGATCATCATGATCAACACGATCACCATGATCACCATGATCACCATGATCACCATGATCACCATGATCACCATGATCACCATGATCACCATGATCACCATGATCACCATGATCACCATGATCACCATGATCACCATGATCATGATGATGATGATGATGATGATCATCATCATCATCATCATCGTCATCGTCATCGTCACCATCACCACTGTTGCGGTTCTTTCCGGTTTCATGTGTGTTCATATCCCAATTTTGATCGGTCAAATCATGTCAACACATCATTATTGTACGTTTTCGTAGGTGACTTCAAGTCACATGCACAAAACATGTGAAACAGGTGGCACATGTTGACAGAGATGTTTTTTTCTTGGTGTAATAACCTATTTTTGATGTTAAATCCAAGTTTTTGAGGCATAAACCGCCAGTTTTGCTGGTTAAATCCAAGTTTTTGAAGGTTAACTCTCCATATTTCGCACTTTTTGATGGTAGAATCTCCATGTTTGATGGTTAAATCCCAATTTAACCAGGGTGAAAGCCACCATTTTCGGCCCAGCTCCGGTAAGGTCCAGAGCTGTTGGAGGTCGTGGGCCGCATGGCCCAAGGTCCACTTTATGGCGCCAAAGAGGTCACCGTGCTTTTGGCGTCCCTGGCCAGGTGGGGCCTAGGTTTCTAGGTTTCAATGCTGGGTTTTAAGCCTCATCAGATTCCAGTAATTATGGAAAACAATTAACCTTGGGTTTTTGGAGCATCGCAGCCTGCTCTGGAAAATTCTGAAACTGGAAATGCAGAAAAAAAAACCGGTTTCGTTTTTTTTTTTGGCTTTTTGTTGGGAGAAATGAACACAAAACCCATGGATTTTGGGATGCTATATGTATTTTATTGGGATGTAAGCCGACCATTAATGGGAGAGGGGAGAGCATTGTTATTTTCCATAGAGTAATTGGGGGATTTAATTTAATCGATGAACTTGGTGATATCATGCAGTAAGAAATTGATATAAATGGGAATATGAATATGATTTTACTGGAGATAGAACAGTGGAATTAATACTTTTCGGGATAGGGATATCAACATATACCGTCCGACAACAATTAGCATTTAAACCGATATGACATGATTTTGTGGGATGGACATCCGATCAGCTTTCAAGAAATTTGGAGATACAAAATTTGGGAATTTCCTAGGGATGAACCCCAACCTTTCATCCTGCTTCCATGTTGGATTTTTTTCACCGATGAGTAGTTTAGGGAACCGTTTTTTTTGTTGCTAAAAAACAAAGGGTTTGCTGACCTGACCAGTTCAAAAAGGTGCATGGTATTTTATATTGGGGATGGAGGGACGATGGCTTTGTTTGACATAGCGGGAATTACCATGGCGGCAACGTGGGATTATCACCATCAATGCGCAAGGACACTTCCCCCCGTGACAACCAAGAGGGTCCAATTGGGTGTTTCCAAAAGGACACGTCATTGGTCTGAAAACGGATGATCATACGCAGAGGCTAGCTCTCTTATTCACTATACCCTATGAAAAACTAGCATAGCCATGAAACATAGCTCATTTAGTTCGAAGATTTACCTGATTTTCCTGATTTCCTATGGTTATTTCAGATCACCAGAATGTAGAAATAGAACATTTCCCCAGTGATCGACGTCGAGTTCGGCCACCAGGCGAGCCTTGTGGCGTTCAGCCGTGACTCTGCTGTTCACAGCAGAAGAGGTGCTGGACTTGCCCTGTTTGGGTCGAGACCTCGATGACAAAGCCGTGAGGTGGTGAGGTTTTCACATGAAAACTATGGATCTCACCATTTTATGACAGGACAATTGAAGAGTCAATGGCAAAGTTGCTGAAAATCTCTTCCGGAGGTTTTAGGGGAAAAAAACGGGATGCAGGGACGCCCCCGCGTTGGCTATACTGTGGTAAGAACAATAGTTAACAAATTTCACCAAACATCCAAACAGCCTTTGCGAGCTGATGTGGGCACCCAGGTGCAGCCTTGCAAGCTTGTGAGAAGAGTGGGCAATGGCAGATGGCTTTGACGCTCTTGGAGGACACCGAAATCCACCTGTTGTGCTTAGGAAAGCCATGGTTCAGTACTGGCTGGTGCCATTATTTTGGGGTCGCGAAACCGGGGGGGATTTCATCGGCCGTCAATGGCCTGTGGTGAGCCGTGGCTTCTCCTTAGAATTCAAGCCGACTAAAGAGGTATGATAAATCTATGTCAATAAACCTCCACTTGGGAATGGTTCCAATCCCACCTATTTCTGGTCCAATCAGGAGTAGATATTTATGGTTCCCACTTCAGGTAACCAGGGTGTACCCTCTTCATCAAAATATTCACCCAAATCCCCAAAATATAATCAACATAGCCTACCCAACGTGCATGTTACCTGAAAAAAAAAAATGTCACCGCAGGACTTCAGCTCTCGCCGTCTCCTACCAGATGGGGGCGCTTTGGCCTCCGCCCTGCTGGTCACTTGGGATGGGAGGGTGCCAAGCTGGCTCCTGTAGTTGGCCAAATAGCTGGGATTAATGGATGTTCAACTTCCAAATTTAGTGGAAAATATGGGTTTGACTCATCCCCATAGGGGATTTTGATGGCTGAGGCGACTGGCCGGGCAGGGGCTTGGCAGCAGGGCTGCTGGATCTTGAAGATGGTGAGGCGTGCAGCTGGTCTGCCAATTTATGGCCAAATCCAATGGTTTAGAATCTGATTTTCTAAAACCCAGGTTGGGGGTGCCATATATTTTTGGACGGAATCAGGATTTTTTTAAGTTGTTGTTTCGAAATCTCAGACAGGTGCAACTTTGATCAACTTTGCACAGAGAGGGTTTGGGGGGTCTAGGTTTTTGCGATGGTGGGCATCTTTTGGCATCCAATCATGGTGAATGTTTTGAGTTTTTGGACGTAAAGGTGGTGTGTTGATTCCCACAAGCCTCCAAAAAGCTAGGCAACTGGGTACAGAGAGATACCGTACCCAGTTGTAGTACCTCCACATGGCACCGGTTTCCTTTAGTCAACGGGGGCTTCTCAGCGTGCCCATCCCCTTTGGCAGACCAAAACATTCGCGTGAGGTCTGGCAAGTGGAATACGAAGGCTGACGGCTCAGCTACCAGATTTTGGTGGGTACAACATGTATATTTATACAGTACATATATATATATATATATACATGCATATATATATTAATAAACATTACACATTTATCATAACATCGCTTTGGTTCCTGCAATTGTTCTGAACATGAAACCAGACTCAATGGGAAACTCCAGTGACTCCAGTGATGCGCGTGATCAAAGACCGAAGGTGACAACCGAAGATCAAAGTGGTGTTTACCTGAGAGTTCCCCTAAAGTTATGAGCGCTTGTTGGGGAATATGATGGAATATAGCATGAAAAAAGAGCCATCAACTTGCTCTTCCATGCTCTTCCATCCAAAAACTCAATTTCTTCCCAACATGATGCATTTTGGGCAACAAATCCGACAAAAGCCAGTTACATGATCAACTTCCCCTCAAAATCGGTTTCATCTAGCACCAAAGACGATAGGAATGGGATCCCTTCGCCACAAGGCCTTGCCAAAGGCAGAGTGGTCTCGTGTGGCAATGGCTGCTGTGAGTGTTTGTGGCTGGCGCCTGAGGGTCTCAGCTGTCGTGGCAGGATTTTAATGAGGACTATGAACTTTAACTTGATGGTGAAACAGAGTTTTTTCTCACTGCGATGGAGAGAGGGAGAGAATGTTTCGACAGAGAAGGAGATACAGTGGGGAGACGGAGAACTGCAATAACACATGGGGACACCCGAGGTCAGCAGCGTCAATGGAGGATGGCCACGCAGGTCTTGGAGGTGGGAAGCAGAGCTGGTGAAGTTGGAGAGACCAACTTGAATTTAGAGAAGGAAAACAGTGAATTAATAGATCACTATAGCCAAAGAATCATGTAACGACTGGGATCAGCCAACTGAGCAACTGGTTGGTCCCTGGTGATCGGTTAAAGTCCCTGATTCTTAGGCCTAAATATCCCCATTTGAACCATGTGGAAATGTGGTGTTCCAGTTCCCCAATTTTGGGAACACTTATTTCAGTGGGATGATCCTGGTTATGAACTGCTGACTGGTTATTCTATCTGTTGTTGCACAGTAGTACTCCATGTATAGGTCATTTCACCCCTAACACTACGTGGCGATGGCTCAAGAAATAGTGCTAGCTGATTTGTGGTGTGTTGTGGTTGGTAACTAGTTTCTACAGGTTATCAGCCGTATCGCCAAGCGATCGCTGGTTTCCTTTCGTCTCACCTTTTCGCTTTTCCTTCCTTGTTTTCGCTATGGCTACACCCCCTGCGTTGCCTGCCCCGGGCGGGAACGCCACGGCTGCTTTAGCACTGGCGAACACATCACAACCGGAGGAAGTGGTAATCCATTCAGGCGCGGCTACAACTGAAGGGGATATGAGTTACCTGGATGAAGACTTTGACCCATGCCGATCTGATCCACGCAGGAACATGCCAGATGTCTTGGATTCAAACATTGACATCAGTCAGCTCAACACCATCAACTTTAACAGTGTTGATCAGCGTACCGCCAATGTGGCAGTGGTACAACAGGGTATTGATCCGAGTCTCGGCCCGAGACCTTCCAGAGGTGAGACCGTTCAGACCGACCCTCGGATTTGTGCTTAGCCATGGATGTTCAATTTCTGGATGGTTCGATCACTCTTGGTGCTACTACTTCCTTTTTGGCTGAAGTCAGGATGTTTGACACCAATCAACAGAAACATGTACTCCGAACTGCCCTCAGAGGAATCCAGGTTGAGTATGAAGGTTTTCTCCCCAAGGGGTCCACAGTTGTCGCCATCATCGATGTCAAGGTTGTGAACGCAGGATCCACACCTCAGGTCAAAGCAGAAGCTAGCTCCCAAGTGATTCCTAGGCCATATATGCACCGACAGCAACTCCTGCGGGTGATTGAGCTGTGCAGCGGAATGGGATGCATGGGTTTTGGGCTTGAGCATGCGGGTTTTTGCACTGTCCTTAAGTGTGACATCAATTGTAGCATGTTGCAAATGTCCCAGCGTATCCATCCAGCACCAACTTGCCAAGGAGATGTCACCAATCTGAGCTTGCTTGCCCCCATGTGTGCCGAAGGGATTGATGCAGGTTCCATTGCAGCTGGAGTGGCTTGTCAGCCCTACAGCCGACTTGGGGACCAAAAAGCAGAGCAGGATTCACGGTCACAAACGCTCCCTGGAACCCTCAGATTAGGTTTTTTGGGTCGATTTGGCCTCATAATCTTGGAATGTGTTGGAGAAGCATTGACTTGCCCATGGGTTCAGAAAGTGTTGCAACAGTTTTGCCAGATGACTGGATTTACCATTTCACAAGGGCTGTTGCACCTCCACCATGTTTGGCCAGCACGAAGAACGCGGTGGTGGTGTGTCCTTAGCCACCATGAAGTAGGTCAGATCCCTTGGAATCCGTTTCCGCAGTGCAGTCCGCTCCCATTGATTGCCCACCTTTTGGATCGTTTCAAGACATGCAATGATGAAGACACCCGTCAACTTGCCCTTGACCTTTATGAGTTGGGCCGCTTTGGACATTTTGGTTTTGACACCAACATGCTCATGTGGAATGGCCAGATGCAGACCAGTTTGCACAGTTGTGGTTGTCAACTTATGGGTTGCCCCTGCGGATGCAGGACCTATGCATTCAGCGACAGTCGGCTGGAAAAGGGTGGACTGCATGGAATTTTGATTCCCATGCAAGGAGTTTCCACATGTGGCATGAAAACGTACCCCAATTTTCGTCACATCCACCCTGATGAACTGGCACTTTTCAATGGAATGCTTCCTGGATTGCCTTTTGGGAATCAATGTCGTATGTCACTGTGTGCATTGGGCCAGCTGGCTTCCCCAATTCAAGCGGTTTGGGTCGGGGCATTGGTTGCACAGCATCTGCATGGACGTATGGACATTGGAACTGGCATTTCCCCCAATATTGCTCTTTTCACTTGGATGCAAAGACTTTTGACTGCGAGAGACCAAGTGTTTGGGAAACAGTCTAACATCAATGCTGCCATGTTTACTCAGATGATCACTGCACATGACTTTGCCATGCCACACCCGCTTTCGCTCAGGAGCATTGATGATCATCCAGCTGCAGACATTAACAAGACCGATGCCGGAGCCTCACAGGCCATCGAGAGTCAGCTACCGGCCCTGACACCATCCGAGCCTTTGTGTACAGTTGCCTCAGCCGACGCATCCGAGCATCCGCCATGTTTGCCTGACCCTGTACATAGTGCATCCGTCACCGTTTCCATGCCATCAGTCTGTACAGTTGAGCCTGCGATGCCCCATCAGACAATTCCAATTGACGAGACCAGTTTCGCCAGTGTCATGCCTGATCCATCTGTCACGTTGCCTCGACATGAACCTGATGCAGCCGCCGCGTGTCCTGTCATTAGGTCCGAGTCTGGTGTCCCATGTCCTGTCCCGCCCGTGCCCTCTGCAGCAGGGAAAACTGATGCAAGTGATGAAACCCCGACACCAGGTTTGTCTCTGTCCGTTGTCACTGCCACAGTCGATGCAGCCGCATCCCCACATGTTGCAACCGCACAGGTCACAGATGTCACCGGTCCGTGCCTTGTTGATGTCCATGCCATGTCCTCACAGGTCGCTACTGGTCACGTCGCTGTCGTACCCAATTGTCCGGAAGGTACCAGGAAGTCCAACACGCAGAACATCAGAGAATCAGCATGCACCTCGGCCAGAAGCATTGATGATCATCCAGCTGCAGACATGAACAAGACCGATGCTGGAGCCCCACAGGCCATCGAGAGTCAGCTACCGGCCCTGACACCAGCCGAGCCTTTGTGTACAGCTGCCTCAGCCGACGCATCCGAGCATCCGCCACGTTTGCCTGACCCTGTACATAGTGCATCCGTCACCGTTTCCATGCCATCAGTCTGTACAGTTGAGCCTGCGATGCCCCATCAGACAATTCCAATTGACGAGACCAGTTTCGCCAGTGTCATGCCTGATCCATCTGTCACGTTGCCTCGACATGAACCTGATGCAGCCGCCACGTGTCCTGTCATTAGGTCCGAGTCTGGTGTCCCATGTCCTGTTCCGCCCGTGCCCTCTGCAGCAGGGAACACTGATGCAAGTGATGAAACCCCGACACCATATTTGTCCCTGTCCGTTGTCACTGCCACAGTCGATGCAGCCGCATCCCCACATGTTGCAGCCGCACACGTCACAGATGTCACCAGTCCGTGCCTTGTTGATGTCCATGCCATGTCCTCACAGGTCGCTACTGGTCACGTCGCTGTCGTACCCAATTGTCCGGAAGGTACCAGGAAGTCCAACACGCAGACCATCAGAGAGTCAGCATGCACCTCGGCCAGAAGCATTGATGATCATCCAGCTGCAGACATGAACAAGACCGATGCCGGAGCCCCACAGGCCATCGAGAGTCAGCTACCGGCCCTGACACCAGCCGAGCCTTTGTGTACAATTGCCTCAGCCGACGCATCCGAGCATCCGCCATGTTTGCCTGACCCTGTACATAGTGCATCCGTCACCGTTTCCATGCCATCAGTCTGTGCAGTTGAGCCTGCGATGCCCCATCAGACAATTCCAATTGACGAGACCAGTTTCGCCAGTGTCATGCCTGATCCATCTGTCACGTTGCCTCGACATGAACCTGATGCAGCCGCCACGTGTCCTGTCATTAGGTCCGAGTCTGGTGTCCCATGTCCTGTCCCGCCCGTGCCCTCTGCAGCAGGAACTGATGCAAGTGATGAAACGCCGACACCAGGTTTGTCTCCGTCCGTTGTCACTGCCACAGTCGATGCAGCCGCATCCCCACATGTTGCAACCGCACACGTCACAGATGTCACCAGTCCGTGCCTTGTTGATGTCCATGCCATGTCCTCACAGGTCGCTACTGGTCACGTCGCTATCGTACCCAATTGTCAGGAAGGTACCAGGATGTCCAACACGCAGACCATCAGAGAATCAGCATGCACCTCGGCCAGGAGCATTGATGATCACCCAGCTGCAGACAAGAACAAGACCGATGCCGGAGCCTCACAGGCCATCGAGAGTCAGCTACCGGCCCTGACACCAGCCGAGCCTTTGTGTACAGTTGCCTCAGCCGACGCATCCGAGCATCCGCCACGTTTGCCTGACCCTGTACATAGTGCATCCGTCACCGTTTCCATGCCATCAGTCTGTACAGTTGAGCCTGCGATGCCCCATCAGACAATTCCAATTGACGAGACAAGTTTCGCCAGTGCCATATCTGATCCACCTGCCATGTTGCCTCGGCATGAACCTGATGCAGCCGCCGCGTGTCCTGTCATTAGGTCCGAGTCTGGTGTCCCATGTCCTGTTCCGCCCGTGCCCTCTGCAGCAGGGAAAACTGATGCAAGTGATGAAACGCCGACACCATGTTTGTCCCTGTCCGTTGTCACTGCCACAGTCGATGCAGCCGCATCCCCACATGTTGCAGCCGCACACGTCACAGATGTCACCAGTCCGTGCCTTGTTGATGTCCATGCCATGTCCTCACAGGTCGCTACTGGTCACGTCGCTGTCGTACCCAATTGTCCGGAAGGTACCAGGAAGTCCAACACGCAGAACATCAGAGAATCAGCATGCACCTCGGCCAGAAGCATTGATGATCATCCAGCTGCAGACAAGAACAAGACCGATGCCGGAGCCTCACAGGCCATCGAGAGTCAGCTACCGGCCCTGACACCAGCCGAGCCTTTGTGTACAGTTGCCTCAGCCGACGCATCCGAGCATCCGCCACGTTTGCCTGACCCTGTACATAGTGCATCCGTCACCGTTTCCATGCCATCAGTCTGTACAGTTGAGCCTGCGATGCCCCATCAGACAATTCCAATTGACGAGACAAGTTTCGCCAGTGCCATATCTGATCCACCTGCCATGTTGCCTCGGCATGAACCTGATGCAGCCGCCCCGTGTCCTGTCATTAGGTCCGAGTCTGGTGTCCCATGTCCTGTTCCGCCCGTGCCCTCTGCAGCAGGGAAAACTGATGCAAGTGATGAAACGCCGACACCATGTTTGTCCCTGTCCGTTGTCACTGCCACAGTCGATGCAGCCGCATCCCCACATGTTGCAGCCGCACACGTCACAGATGTCACCAGTCCGTGCCTTGTTGATGTCCATGCCATGTCCTCACAGGTCGTTACTGGTCACGTCGCTGTCGTACCCAATTGTCAGGAAGGTACCCGGATGTCCAACACGCAGACCATCAGAGAATCAGCATGCACCTCGGCCACATCGGTAGTCCCATGCCATCCATGTAGGTCATCCACACCCATGCATGATGCCAAGCTAAAGTCAGTTGACACGCACGGAGCACCAACCGTACACATGCCAGATGAGCTCCGAGCTGATGTTGCCCGGACTGCACTAGCAAGTGTTCATGCCCCGGACTCCATTGAGCCCGGTGTACACCCACCATGCCCAAAAGTCGAACGGACAGATGCCACAGAGAACCCCCAGGACCGTCCTCCTGTGACTGAACTGCTACATTGCCATGATACCACGACCAGTACTACCCAGGCCACAGCCTCCTTGGCTACATTTGCAACCGCACAGACATTGACTTGGCCCCAGAAGTTGCAGGCCCTTGACCATTTGGCCTTTTTGCCGTACGTCGGAACAGAAGGAGGAGATTTTCCTGGTCACACACCACATCAAGATGAATGTACCCCATCAATCCAACATGGTTGCAAAGTACCACAGGTCCCCAAGGACCCTAGGAACATGACTCCAGGTACATCTGCCCATGTTGACAGTTTGTCAGTGAACCCAGTCCCGGCAAACACAGACCAGGTAGGTTAGCACCAACTCCAAGCACTCACTGCCCAGGCCTTGGATTTTGATGTCTGTGCCGACACCACAGCAGCAGATGAGCCAACCTGTCCATCGGCCTTTCCTTGGCCTCAGCGGGATTCAGTGCAATCGCCCCAGACCATTGCACCCACCCCAGTTGCCGAGTCCGGTAAGCGACCACATGAATCATTCCAGCAAGCCAACTCTGCAGGAGGGGTCTGTGGATTTGAAACCCCACGGCCAGCCAAGAAAGCCAAAGCGGAGTCTTCGACGCCTGCGTCCAGCCCAGCACCTGTCAGATCGTTTGAGCCTGCGTTGGCATGCCCAACCAATGGAGCATGGTCCCCAGCAGCATCTTCTGACAAAGATTCTGCCAGTGGCACAAACATCAATATCATGGTCCTCAGGGATGGAGCTCAGTTGCCATGCGTTGTCAGTGTCTCAGAAGGTACTGAAGTTGGCCAGCTACTCAGAGCAGAAAAGTTTGACTTGGAGGGGACGCCTGATCTGCATGCGAGTTCATGGCTCAACACACCCATCCCATTGATGCTCCCGTTGGAAGATAAACAGGCAATCTTTGTGCGTAAGCAGCTTCAACTTTGGAACCAGTGTCCATTCACAGACTCAGCAGCCGTATGCCGCCCAGACCTTAGCCTGCCCAGCCCTCGTATTGAGGCTTTGTACCGCCAGCAAGCATGGGTGGCTAGGGATGAAATGGAATACTATTTGAGTGCTACATCCTTTGATCACATGGCGACAGCATTTCCTCCTGCCTGCTATCACAATGAAATTGCAGTGAAAGATGAAGCGCACCATTGGCTGTCTCTCATTTTGGATTCAATCGCCGAAGGCCAAAAATGGTGTTCTGCCGCAATTGTCAATGGTCATTGGATCCCACTGGTCTTGCACAAGCAAGCAGCAACCATTACCATGTATACAACACCCGAGGGTACTTGCTTCCTTGAGACAGTTGAAACATTGGTGCAAGACAACAGCATGACTTTTTCAGCAAAGCAGAGTGTCCTCCCACAGAGTTTCCCGGCAGACTGTGGGTTTCAGAGTTTTGCATGGATCATTGCCATACTGAGTGGACTTGAAGTTCAAGCTTTATCATGTCGGCAAGCGGCCAAATGGCGACAGCTTTTCGCCAATGAGCTTCTCAGGCATGAAACAGCTTGGCACATTGCCCACCACCTGGACTTAGGTGGCGCCAGGCCGGACAATGGCGAGGTCCACCAGTTGACAGAACTGCTCACCACGCATGGAGTTTGGCCGGAACGATCTCAAGAAAGAGCAGCCCAGATAGTAGCCAAGATCTCTCCGGCAATCCTTGCCAACATTCTTGCGTCTCCAAGACCATGGCAGGACTTGAAAGCAGCAGCGAACAATATGAAACCTCAGCTCAGATTGATCATGGCTGACGAGCTCAATGCCCAAATTGCCAACCGAACATCCCAACGCAAGTATGGCAGAAAGAGTGACCGCCAAACAGCCAGGAAACCAGATGCTACCAAAGAGGTGCCATCAGTTCAAGCCAGTGAATTGCAAGTCCCACATGGCGTCTTCCGACAACAAGATGGCACGGTCCTCAGTTCCTTGCATGTCAAGAAGTTGGTCCCCAAGCCAGTGGCGTCCTTTTGCTTGACCAAGAAGACTGTGAAGCCACATTGCGTCTTCCCCAACCGGTCTCCAAAGGTGGTTTGGCAGTGATTGTCCTGGCGACGAAGCACAACGCCAACATGCATCAGATGCCACTTATCCGGTTTCCAGCTATGTGCTTGTCTACCCAGGAGCCTCTCATCACTGCAGGATACATGTATCAACTGGGGTCCCAACAGGTTGTTCGACATGACCCCCCTACGAAGCTTGCGGTAGAAGAGCAACCGACTGAGGTTGTCAGATGTGTCGTCTTCAGAGATCAAGCCATGCCGCTTTGGGATTCCATGCTGCTGCAACCGGTGAAACATATTTTCCAAGCTGAACCGCTCCTCACCCCCACACCTGGTGAAGATTCAGTTGTGATAGATGTTTGGGACAGGCAATGGGTCACAAAGAAATATGAGAAGGTCAGACCCACCAACGCTGACATGTTTCTCTGCAGCATTCGAATGCAAGCATCCCAGGCCGAAACCTTGTTGACCAAGTCAGGGCAGAATGGGGTTTACTGGGAACCAAGGTCGCACTGTGGCAGCTACCCCAATGACAGCTACCATGTCACCTGGCTCCAAAAAATGACCCTGCAGGATGCCAAATATGCACAGCAGACGTCGCCTCAAACCACCACTTTGGTGCGACACGGGGATCGCTATGGGCTCCGGAGTGACACCATGGTTGCCCAAGAAATCCACTCCAAGCATCGTCCCGACACACCGTTGCTGCTTGGCCAAAACAAGCTCCTTTTCACTGTGGGGCCATTGCCATATAGCACCACCAAAACGGCACTGATGAAGATCCTGAAAGCCTGGGACTGGGATGCGCGCCCTCTCCAGCCCAAAGGGAGAGCCCCTGATGGCTCCGGCATCACATGGATTGTTCAGGCAGTTGAGCCACCAACACACCTTGTTTATGCTTTGCAGCATGGAGATGTCTTAGTTGCTCACGTCCAAGATGCCAAGCCACAAGCCAAACCGGAGCCATTTGCCATCATTGCGTCCAAAAAGACCATTGACCATTTGCAATCTGCTGACCCCTGGCTGCATGACGATCCCTGGAGGAAAGGTCCAGCTCCAAATTCCGGACAGCCAGCCAAACAGCAACCCAGTTCCCATGTATCGCCCACTGCCATGCAACTTGACAAGTTGGAAGCCTCCTTGGAAAGCAAGATCATCCGAAAGCTGACCAAACAGGACGGCGATGTTGCCATGGAAACCAACGCAATGGATTCCCGAATTTCCCAGTTGGAACACCAATTTCAACAGCTGCAGGCCATGCAAAGTGGCACTGATGCCAAAGTATCCCAACTGCAACAACACGTCGAGCAGCAGAGCAAATGCCTAGGAGAGCAGCTTGACACACGCCTTGCTGAGCACATGGACCGCATTGAGCAGCTCCTGTGTAAGCGGGGCAGACATGAATGACCAGAGGCCGAGTTTAATTATGGCTTTGAACCATTGTACAGGAGCCTGACCAATCGTCGGCCACGGATCAAGCCATTTGCAAGCAATCATGCCCGGACGCCAGTGTCCGTGACCAATAAGTTCCGTCAATTGTGTATGTTGATCATAGTGTTTTCTCAATCCATGCGGCTGGGGGAAGCCGCCAATCCTGGCCCTAATGAGCTTGTTCTAGGCAACATGAATCCCACCGGGCTGATGGGCAAGGCTCGTGACTTGTCCGCTTTGCCGAAAGGACTGTACGCAGTCCAGGAAACCCACCTGACGGCCCAGGGTATTCCAAAGTTTAAGCAAGAACTCACATGGGCAAAATCTGGGTATCACCTCACCCACGGAATGCCAGCACCACCAAAGAACGCTTCCATTCGAACGATAGGGGGCAAGCACACTGGGGTAGCTTATCTCAGTCCATATCCATGCAGGAGTTTGGTCCACACATGGACTCCTGAACAATTTGCCACAGGCAGATGCTTGGCAGCTACTGCCTTTGTCAACCAGCGATGGCTGACCATGGGTACCGTCTATGGCTACAATGAGAAGTCCCACACGGTTGAAGTCCAACAGCATACAGGTGACCTTCTGCACGGTTTGACCACCAGAATCGTGGATGGCGCAAGAGGTCTTCGTTGTATTTCAGGGGATTGGAACCTTGACCGCAACAATATCCCCCAAGCATCATACTGGGAGGCACAAGGGTGGATGGAGGCTCAAACCTTTGCTTGCCGCAGGTGGTCCACACCCATTGGTGCCACTTGCAAACATACCACAGTCAAGGACTTCATGTTCCTGTCTCCCGAAGTGTTACCATATGTCACTGCCGTAGAGTTGGACTGGTCTTGTTTTGCTGATCACGCCGTCCTGTTGGTATATCTTTCAGATTTGGCAGCCCCGCCACTTGTTCCGATGTGGCGCAAGCCGTCCCAATTTGAGTGGCCCAATCAACAACAATGTAAGCAAGTGGATTGGCCCTTTCATGCAGCACAGTCTCAGGACATGGATGCTTGGTATGCCAACATTTGGAAGAACGTTGAACGTTACGCAGACAAGCTGCTCACAACCAATAATAAACCACCACTGCAGCCACATCAATGCGGGCGGGCCACAACCACAGAAGTTAAGTGGTCGATCCAGCAGACCACCCCAGTCAAACCCAATAGACGGGGGGACATCCAGTCCCAACTTGCCGCCTCAACCATGCAACACTGTAGATGGACAAAGCAAGTCCGACGCTTGGAACATTTTGCAAGATGCCCCAATTGCCCTGACTCACTGACCCATGCAGAGCATCGAGCGTGTTTGTGGGGAAAAATCCTACGTGCACCCGGTTTTCACGGTGGTTTTTGCCATTGGTGGATCAATGCACATAAAGCCTTTGTTGACACACCCTCAGTTTTGCCGCGATGCCCTCCAGAACCAACCTTGGCACATGCCATTTTTCTTGAGTTTTCAAGGCATTATAGGTCTCTTGAGTCCAGCTTGATGCAGGCCAGATCCATGCATGCTACTCAGCGCCGAGTCGAGGACCCCTTGCTGATCTACAGAGACCTCCAAAGGGAAAGGGCCGAACCAGTGCAGACCATTGTCCAGACCCAAGAAATACCGGTAGTCTCAAGCCAAGATGTTCACCAGACAGAGAAGGTTGAGCTCCACCTTGCAGCCCCTCTGCCTGACAGTGTCACATGTGTCCAGGCGCAAGGAGTTCCGGTTGCTGTCACAACCATTAATCCCCACAGTGTTGTCGTAGACTCTTCCGTAGCTGCTGCAATAGGCCCCACCGCTAGTTTCCAGAGTGTTGTTGGTAACCCCAGGGAAGTCCTTTCCGCCTTTGAGCAAGAATGGCAAAAGCGTTGGCAACGCCATGAAGAAACCAAAGCTGAGAAATGGCAGCCCATCATTGACTTTGCCAAGCATGCCTTGCCTAAACGCCAAACTACCTTTCCTGCTATTACCTCCCAACTTTGGCAAAAAACCGTGGCCAAAAAGCGAAAAAATGCAGCTGTTGGCCCTGATGGGGTTTCCAGACGAGACATGTTAGAAATGCCAAGTGCAGCAGTTGATGACATGGTAGCCCTTATCCATGCCATTGAAGAAGGAGCACCATGGCCCCAACAACTTGTCACCGGCCACGTTGCTGCCCTAGCCAAGAGCGCAGATGCACAAACCGTATCGCAATACAGACCGATTTGTGTTTTCCCACTGCCATTTCGCTGCTGGGGTACAATAAGGGCCAAACAATGTTTGAGGTACTTAGCCACTTTTGCTCCTTGCACTTTGATGGGTAACATGCCCAAGCGTAGCCCAAGACATATTTGGTTTCATGTTCAGCAACTCATTGAACATTCCTACTGCCACGACACCGAAGTGGCAGGGGGAGTGATTGACATCGTGAAATGTTTCAACATGTTGCCGCAACAGCCCCTTTTGGAAATTGCCAGCCACCTGGGCATTCCCAGTGAAGTCATGCAGCCTTGGCACGCTGCATTACGGCAGCTTCAAAGAAGGTTCCAGGTCCAGGGCTGCGTAGGCCGTTCCTTGACAAGCTCTTGTGGTTTCGCAGAGGGTGATGCCATGTCAGTTGTAGCAATGGCAGTGTGTAATGTGGTTTGTGACATGTGGATGTACTTCCGTTACCCATCTGTACGAGTTTGGTCCTTTGTGGACAACATTGAAACTGTTGCCCAGTCAGCCCAGGATGCCCTCAACTCCGTCCGAGCACTGGAGGAATTTTGTTCACTTTTGGACTTAGAGACTGATCCTGCTAAGACCTTCTGTTGGTCCACATCCTCTTCGGGCCGAAAATTAATCTTGGAACATGACCAAAACCGTAAATACTTTGCACGTGACTTGGGTGGCCATATGAATTACTCCAAACTCCGAACCAATGCCTCAGTTCAAGACAAAATCAAGGGTCCTGGGGCTTTGTTCAATGGACCGGTGAAGAATTCTGGCCAGTCGCAAATGGAGCAGTGCCAGGCTGGCGACAAACCAGCTTGAGAGGTGAACTTACAGCGGCGATTTCGGCACTTAAATTTGTCACTTTCAAGGAGCAACCCTCACGATTGTGGTTTGACAATTCCAACGTTCAAGACTCGTTACACCACTGGCTTCAAGGGGTTGACACAGATTGGAGGGATAAGACAGATCAAGACCTCTGGCAACACTTGCATGATCAGTTTCAACATGCTAGGCCTTTTTTGACTGCAGTTTATAAAGTTCAAGCACACGCTGACCCGGCATGCCAGGACACAGCGCTGGATGAGTGGACAGTTTTGGGAAACATAGCGGCAGATTGGTGCGCGCGCAGTGCACGTCTCCATTTCCCAAGGTGTTTGTGGGATGCTTGGGAAGCCACTGTTAACCATGTTGCTCATTCAAATCAGCTTGGCCTCAAGGTACACCAAATGTTTGTACAGATTGCTTTGCGTGCGCGTAACTGTACTCTTGCAGATGAACCCTTACCACCGAAGGGAATTTCCATGGACACACCCACAGCCACTGTTGATGCGGGACTTCTGGCGCTGGCCAAGTGCTCGGAGTCCGACTTGCCAGCCAAGTTGCAGACTGCAGAAACTCCACATGTTTTGCAGTGGATCCGTAACCTTCTAGCGAATGACCATGCAGTCATTTGGGTGACTTTCCACCAATTGTTGCTCAGCTACCCAGGAGGTACGGGTCGACTTGGACCGTACACCACTGGACGTTTATGGACCGAACGACCTCTGGATTCCATGTATGAATATAAGCAACAGGTACAGTGGTTTGTCAGGTTTTTGATGAGTTTAGCCAAAGCCGTAGGTGCTGCATTAGAAGTTGATCAGCGACGTCCTTCATCACATGTGCTGACATTTTGGTGCGGCTGCCTGCAAGTGCCCATGGCTGCAACAGAACTGGCTGCCATTGATGACTTCTACAAAGAGCATGCCACCAATCTACCTGCGAGACAGATTGGTCGCGACCTTGGTAAGGTGCCTCTGCGTAGTTTCGTGAATTGAGGTGGTTTCACTGGGCGAGCAATCGACTCCGTCGTCAGAGCGATTGCTTCCGATGAAAGAGAGAAAGAGAGGGTATTGATCCGAACCTGGCGAACCAACTCATGGCTGCTCAGCAGCAGGCATTGCAGAGTGAGGCAAACGTGCGCCACTCTGAGGTCATGGAACGTCAACGTATGGAGCTTGTGAGTGAAGCTCGAGATCAACTTGCAAGCGTTGAACAACAAGCAGCCGAAGAAATTTCCAGGAGAAACCTTTTGTTGAACGAGCAGGCCGCCCAGGCGATGAGTGAGCAGAAATCTGCTCAACTGCAGGTCACAGCGCAGGATCATCGCATCAGGGAACTGAGTGCCGAACTGACTCATGTGTTCAACAATGCAGGTGTCTTGACATCGTCTGCGGAGAAGTCCAATGCTGATCTGCAGGCAGCACGTTCAGAACTTGCCGAGTACCGCACTCAGATTGATGCAATGAATCAACACGCTTTGAACATGCAGAAGTTGGCCGAATCTCAGAAGAAGGACTTCGAGGCGGAGATTGAGAAGCTTCGGAAGGAGCAGAGAGAGCTCATCCGGAATCTAAAGTCTCAACCTCTGGAGGGAACTCCTGGACTCATGATCCATTACGGTCCCGGAAAACCCATTCCACAATCCTCGAAGCCCAAGGGTCCAACCATTGAGGAGTTAGCTTCGGGAAGCAAGAAGCCTCAGCATTCATCAGATGCTGACGATGAGCATTTTCAGGCAGAACCTTCGAAGCCACCGGGACTTCCCGGCGGTGGACCTCCAGGAGATGACGATGGTGATGATGACTATGACGACAAGAGAGGTCGCAAAGACAAGAAAGACAAGAAGAAGGACCGCAAGACTAGTCGTGGCCGTTCGCGACGACGACGTCGAAGAGATCCTTCATCCTCACCTTCATCATCAACATCCCCTACGACGTCAAGTTCGGATTCTGAGAGTTCCTTTGCACGAAAGGTCAAAAGGGCCTTAGAGCGTTCTAGGACTACTGATAGTAAGGCCAAAGAGTCTGATAGGATCCTAGTACCTAAGTTCCCTCAACCCGAAAATTATAGGAATTGGAGAATCCGAGTAAGGGATGCCATAATTGCTGCTTCTGCCAAACCCGACCTAGCTTTTCAGTGGGTAGAAGAAGTGTTCAGGACAGACCAGTCTGTCGATGCCTTGAAGGACTCAGGTAAATTCGTGACCCTGGACGCAAAGCTCATGTCTTCGCTCACCAACATCTGCGAAGGGGACTTTGCACGGCAACTTGACATCTTTAAAGAAGAACAAGCCAAGTCAGGGACACCAGCTAGGGGACGTCAAGCATTGCTCATGATTCATAAACACTTCAGTACAGGTAGGAAGCATGGTGCAGTGTATGACATTGAGGACCTCATGGCTGTTACCTTAGTCAATGATGATCTCAGAGGTTTCATCACCCGATGGGACGCTGTGATCGCTGGAATGACTTCCGAGCCTGACATGATGTGGAAGCAAGCCTACTTTCACAACGCCATCAAGAACTTCAAGCCTCTCTCCCATGATCTGGCTGTGTATGATCGCACTCCGGAGGGGGAACCCAACCGCTCTTATGATTTTCTCATGAAAGCTGCGAGGGACTACCTTGAGAGGAGACGTCTTGAGAAGATGCGCCAGGCTACCAAGAAGTCTGTTTCAGGCAAAAGAGATGCTACGCCAGCACCCACGCGACCGCCATCTGCGGGAAAGCCCACAGGCTGGCAAATGTACCAGGGGAAAGGATTGCCGATACAAACATGAAAAGGCAGACAAAGGAAAAGGCGGAGGTAAGAAAGGCAAGTCTAGGTCCAAGTCAAGGGGCAATGATCGGTCTTTGTCTCCAGGATCCAGGAACCAAGTGTGTAAGTTTTGGAAGGCAGGTAAGTGTCAACGAGGTAATGACTGTGCTTTCCAACACCCACCGAAGCCTGCAGCTGCATCTACCAAAGATGACAAGCGTGGAAAGAGCCAGAAAAAGAAGAAGAAGAACAAGAAGAAAGGCGATCGCTCCAGATCGTCAAGTCGAGGTTCCAACTCCTCGAGAGGCTCACAGAGTCTCAAGGACAAAGGGGGAAAACCATCTTCCTCTGGCTCAGCTGCAGTTTGCCTGATGCGCGCTCTGATGATGGTCGCAGTCGTCAACCCTTCGACCAGCACTCATCGCGTGCCGGAAGGCATCGCCTCTCCGCATTGTTTCAACCAGCATTTTGCCATGCCAGTTACACCCAATCGCACTGTTTCGTTTGGGGGCAACGATGAAATCTTCGAAGTTCCCATGGAGCAAAATTGTAATTTGCATCCGTGCCAAGCCAAACAACGAACTTTCAATCCAGTTCGCATCACCAAGGACGATCGTACTCGTAAAGATACGATCGAAGCACGAGAAAGTGATGCAATACTTGCAGCACAGATGTTGCAGTCAGCTGTCTTTCGGGAGTTGCATGGTAAACTTTGCAAATGCAGCTTTGAATGTGACAGTGATATCGGCTGTCGCCACTGCATCCGTTCCGATTTGAATGCATTGCCAGGACACATGCCTTCTCAGCAGCGTAATGCATCCGCTGAAATCGCATGGATCGCTGACACCGGTAGTGCCCAGGACTTAGTTTGCAGCAAGATGATTCCCGATGACATTGTGTATCACTCTCACGAACCCCTTGAATTAATCACTGCAAATGGTTCTCAATCAGCTGACCAACAAGCTTCTGTTCATATTGATTGCATCGACAAAGAAGTTCATCCATATGTTCTTCCCGATACCCCGGCTGTAATATCGGTAGGGATGAGATGTATTCAAGATGGATGGGATTTTGTTTGGAAAAGCTTTAGTCGCCCGTATTTCAAGAAGAAAGATGGAACTAAGATCAAACTTGAAGTCAAAGATTTTGTTCCTTATCTACCATCAAGAGATGGCCAGGTACCCGCTGCAGTAGGAATTCCGTTTTCATGGGACTCCGCTGCCGGGAACGGCAAGCCTATCATCTCACCTGTTCGAAGGTCTCGCATATCAGCTGTCGGCACTGAGTCTGAGGACGAAGTCCAAGAGGTCGAAGAACTTTATGAGGCTTCCATCGCAGACGACGATGAAATCCCTGGACGTGGTGACGATAGTCTCGAGGAGTTCTTCCCTGGTGAACTTGCGCCAGGACCTCCAGCAGCCATGACGCCAGAAGGTGATGTGGGTTCGGAAGATGAAGCCGAAGCTCCTGAAGAACCAGTTGACGGTCGACTTCAACTGCCTGAACCTCAACCAATTGATCGTGGTGAAGCTGCACTTCGAGAAGAGGCTAGGACCCTTAGGCACATGATGACACATACCCCAAAGAATCCTTTTTGTGAAACATGCAAATGTGCGAAGATGTACAAACCTACTAAACGTAGCAAAGGGGAGTCTTTGACTGTGGAATCCAACAAGTTTGGGGATCACATCACTGGGGATCATCTTGTGACTAGGGATGCCAACGAACAATCAATTGATGGTGACAGGGTCGCGATGGTCATGAAAGATGTCGCTACGAATTTTCGTTGGATCTATCCTTCAGCTAGAAGTCATGCCAAGGATTGTGTTTTAGCTTTTAGGCATTTCATTGCGCCTGGTGAAGAAGTCGGAGTGTTTTATTCCGATGCAGCGCCATCCATCAAGCTCGCTTGTCGGGAAGTTGGGTGGAGGCAGAATACTAGTGTTGCTTATGTCTCTAAGTCGAACGCAGTCGCCGAGAGGAATCTCAGGTCCGTACTTGAAGGGACTAGAGTAAACCTTGAACAGGCAGGGCTTCACCATTCGTATTGGAGTTATGCTGCACGACATTGGTGTATGGCACACAACATCCAGGACCACCCTGAAATCTTATCTCCCTGGGAGCTTCGTTCTGGGGAAAAGTTCAAGGGACCCAACATTCCTTTTGGGGCCCGCATTGACTATTGGACTGGACCGAAACTCAAACCCAAGAAAGATTTGCGTTTTGACCCAACTTCAAATCCAGGTGTCTTTTTGGGATATGCCATGCAACCAGGTTTCGTTTGGAGAAATGAGTTTCTTGTAGCATCATTGAAGGACCTCATGGAGAAGGAATTCAACGAATCTGTCCAAGTTGTTCGTGTCAACCAACTCACTGTACCTGATGGACCCTTTGTTTTCCCTTTGAAAGGAAGGTATAAGGCCATTAGGGAAGGTTTATACGAATCTCTTAGCCTTGATGCTCCACCAGATCCGAAGAAGATGGACGCTCAAACAATTGAAGACTTGGTTGCCCCAAGGAAAGCTGTTGAGCCAGGACCGGTGGAGGGCGAAGAGGAGTTTGAACAGATGATGCGTGAAGTTGGACTGGAATCTGATGACATCGAAGTGATTGACCCCAAAACTGGAAAATCAGAATTTATCTCAAAGGATGACCCTTCATACTACGATGCTAGTGGTTTTAAGGGAAGACGATATAAAGGTTCCTCCAAACCCAAGGACATTCCAACATTTCTTTGGCGGGGGGCCTCTAAAGCGGCTAGAGAAAGGGCCAAACGTGAAGCCTTGTTGAAAGAGGCAGCTGAAAAGCATGATGCTGCAGTTGCCAAAGAACGTAAGTACAACAGGGTCATAGATCGTTTTGCCAATTCAGCTGTCAAAGAATCCAAGAGTAATGAACCATCAGATGATTTCATTCCCGCAATGCCGGTCACCTACAATCCGGGGGGCTCGCATGGTGGAAACCATTGCCACAGAGACAAGCTTAAGGATCAATCAGAGCTCATGTGCTTTCATTTTTCCAATGCACTTGTGGCAAGACCCGTTGGACAGAAGGAGATCAACAACACTCCGGCTGCCCAAGCTGCACTCGATAAGGAATGGAATAACCTTACAAGTAAGGGTGCATGGGATTATTCCACTGTTAGGGAGTGGGATGACGTTTCAAGGGAAGCCATCAAGAACAAGACAAAAGTTCATGTAGGCAAGATCTTCGAGATTTGTGTCGAGAAGGGAAGCGAGCTACCGCAGGGTGACCCCATGCGCAAATTTAAGGGTCGCACCGTGTTCCAAGGAAACAACGTTAAGGACGAGGCGGCTGATGTTGCTTTGTTCGCGGAGCTCGGAAGTTCACCGGCCAACATGGAGGCAGGTAAAGCATTGGATGCTTATGGCTCCATGCCGGGGAACCGGACATCACAAGGTGATGGTAAGCAAGCTTACACCCAAGCGTTGATGCAAGGAATTTTAACTTGGATCAGACTACCAAGAAACCGTTGGCCGAAGGAATGGATTGGTGTGTATAAAGATCCGGTTGTTCTTCTTATTTTGGCATTGTATGGTCACCCTGATTCGGGGGGTCTATGGCAACGTCAGTGTGAGAAAGCACTTTATGCAGTCGGATTTCACCCACTCTATCCTGAATGTTGGCCTTCAATGTTTTGGCATCCGAAATTGAAGTTGTTGCTTGGTGTATATGTTGATGACTTCAAGATGTCAGGACCATCCAAAAACATTGACGAAGGGTGGAAGTTAATTTCTTCCCAAATCGACATGGATACTCCTGAAGATGCCGGAAGATACCTTGGATGCGAACATGTCTTCAAACAGAATGTCAAGCTTGATGTATGTGCTCATCCATTTGCTCATGTCTTCGATGCTAGCATCCCGGATCCTTCTAGTAAGCCAGCCAGTCCGGCCCGCCGAACAAAGGACTACTGGGAGCACATGCCAGAGCTTGGAGTTTGTGTTCATCATCACCTGCAACCTCGCAAGAAGTTCCAGGACAAGCCGAAGGACGATACATCCTTCCGGGCGGGAACGCACCGGCTAACCGTGTGTGAACCTTGTCAAACCCGAGATGAACCCAAAGAATATGTTCATGATATGGGATCTCAAAACCCAACTGGACTTCCATTTTGGTGGACGGGATCAACCTACTTCGTGGACGAATCAATCAAGGAACCCTCAAAGGTTTTGGCAGCTGCTAAGAAGATAAGAGACAAGTCGGGAGCAAAGAAAGCGGCTAGGGCACAAGGATTTACTTTTCTTGATGAACTTGAGCAACATAAGTCCAAGTGCATGACGAAGAATGTCAACACGGTCGAGTATGACATGCGACAATTCTTACAACAATGTCTTGACCGCTACGTTGAACTAGCAGGACCAAATGTAAAGTTCAAGAAAGTTTCAACCCCTTTCCCAGATGACAAAATTGCACGTCCCATCATGGACGAAGCAAAAGCTCGGGGGGAACTCCAGCCCATAGCATCACGTGTGTTGATGAAAGTGCTGTTCGCAGCACGAATGGCTAGGTTCGATCTTCTCCGTGCTACTCAGGGTTTAGCAAGTAGGGTTACAAAATGGTCACCTGATTGCGACAAGAGTCTTCATCGATTAATGTGTTACATACACACAACCCTTGATCGTACAATGGTTGGTTTCGTTGGGGATCCACCTGAGGCTTGCAAAACATGGTTATTTGCAGATTCAGATCATGCTGGGGAACATGACAACCGATCTACAAGTGGTTGCCTCCTTGCTTTGGTAGGACCAAACACTTTTTATCCACTCACAGCTTTTTCAAAGAAGCAGACTTCAACGGCTATGTCTTCGACAGAGGCTGAAGTCACGGCGGCGAACCTTGCGTTGCGTGCTGTTGGTTTACCTTCCTCCTGCCTGTGGTCAGTCATACGTCACGCGGGGGGAGAAAGCACTCAACAAAGGGCGTCCCGCAGAGTGGAAACTCGTGCCAAAAACCCCAAAGATGATTATTGGGAGCACAGTCCATTCACCAACCAAGTTACCAGAGTTCATGTCAAACCCCGGAATAAACTGTATAACCCAATTGATTCGGATTGTCCAGTGAACCTTCAGGGATTGGCAAGGCAAAGGTACACCATCATGAAAACTAAAACTGGTGACGTTGAATTTGATTTGACATGGGACTGGACGACTCCTGATGCTGACATGATCTATGATTTCGAATGGACTGGGAAAACTGTCTTTAGAATTCCTGGACCAAATGAAGTTGATTATGGGGTTGAGTCACGGGAAATCAGATCTGCATTAACTGATTTTAACTATACGGGATCTGAAAAGCGGGGGGATGAAAGTGTGTACATGGCAGGACCCGGTAGTCTTGAGGTCATTTTCCTTGAGGACAACCAAGCAACCATTCGAATCCTTGAGAGTGGTAGGTCACCGTCATTTAGGCACACAGACAAAACCCAAAGATTGAATTTGTCATGGTTGTCTGAACAGTTTTCAAACGAAAACATTTCAGACTTGTCTATGTTGGTTCATCGCTTCAAGCGGCAGACATCCTCACCAAGCCCTTTACCAACTCTGAGAAGTGGGAATCAGCTCTGCGATTGATGGAATACCCCTTCCACGGAAGGAGCCACAGAAGATGAAAGCCTGCGCAGGGGAACCTGCACCTTCAACAGTGTCGGGATCTCAGCAACGCGCAGGGGAACCTGCTTGCCCTTCAGTGGCGTCTCATAGCAGGGTACTCATTGAATTTTGTTGTGGACCTGATTCAAAGCTTGGTGATCGTTCAAGGAAGCACTCAAAAGATTGTTATGTCGTCAGATGCACAGAAGAAAGAGATGTTACATCTAGATCGAACAGAATGGACATTCGAAATGAAGTTATTCGAGCAATTGAGAGTTCAACTGCGCAACCTTGTCCTGTTTTGATTTGGATTAGCATTCCCTGCACTGGTGGCACAACATGGTCATATGTGAACTTGCAACATGAATCAGCCAAACTCAAAGTTGAATATCACCGACATGTTTTTGAGAAGATATGGTCATCAATGGTCGATTTTCTCAATCTTATTCGTCATTTGAGTCCCAAGATTGCAATTGAATGGCCAGCTCATTGCATCTACTGGAAGTTTGACCGAGTTGAGAAGTTTTGTGGAAAACATCAGCTCATTAGAGTCACATTTGATGGATGCATGGTTGGTATTGTCAACAAAGACGGTGAATCTATAAAGAAACCATGGGCTATTCAAACTGATTGTGATTCAATTGTCACTGCTTTCGATGGACTATCATGTGATGGTAGTCATAACCATGTTCAAGGCAGAGGTCATGACTTGAAGGAAACTGAGTCGTATTCTTTCCAGATGACGGACATGATCCATCGAGCTTTCATTGCAGCGACCAGCTCAAAACCCGAACTGACGACTTCTACTGCACTCTGCGCTGTTTCGCTTTCTACATCATCATCTATCATGGCTTACTTCCGTCGCTTTCCAGAAGCAGAGGTCGAGGAGGCAGACTACTCCGCTGCGGTGGAGGCTGCTGGCATTCGACCCGGGGAACCGGAGTCCACTGCTGAAGATGTGACTTTGGGACCCAATGGAAAGGCGTGGTATGCGTTGACTGGGAGCATTTTTGCTCTGTCACGCAGTGTCGTGTGGTGAACGAAGCTGATGTGATTTCGGATTTGACATCCATCATGGGGAACACTGACCATTCGCTGTTGGCCAAAGGCTACCTCCGCGACGTCAGCCCCGCAGACGCGAAGCTCCTCGACGGCGTTTCCAGCTTCTCACTCAGAGGCATGGTATGCCCAGGGGAACCTGAGGCCAATTTCATCTTTGCCGGAGATTCTTCGATGGCACTTGTGGACATGGTCGACGGGTACGCTTCTACGCGCAGGAACATCGGCGAGTATATCAAGGAGAAGCCGGACCTCCTCCCACCAGGCCGCAAGACGGTCTGGCACGATCTCAAATGGGGTCGTTGGCTGCCTGACATCATCAAGGGCGTTGAGCACTCTCTTGAATGTTTGCAGCGGAGGGGAACCTCTCGCCCATCTGTCATTGTCATCTCTTACGCTGGCAACGATATTTTTGGGAACTACGGCTTCCTCCACTGTGATTGGCTTGACAAGGAGATGGCATGCTACTCCCAGAAGCGCCGTGACGCAGCAAACGATCTCATGGAGGAAAGGGTCAACACCCATTTCTCCGCTCTGAACGACCTCGTGAAGCTGACGACACGTGCCGACGTTGGGAACATCGTCCTTATCATGCCCTGGTACGGCAGGGGGTATGGGTTGCACCCCGATTATGACCGTCAAATGATTCGCGAAGCCGAGGCTTTGAGGAAACGCGGACTCTGCGTCCTCGATGCCACGTCGCTTATCAAGTGTACTACACGATACGACGGCCAGCACATGGAGAATTCGGAGCATAACCGCCTCCAGTGCATTCGCTTCTATTCCGAAGCAGGCGCGCTTGGCTATCATCTCTTTCGGCTTCGGTCGTGCAAGCCATTGGTCGAGATGGCTGAGATGAAGAAGCGCCGCGAGGAATCGCTGGCCAACCCTCAACCTGAGAACAACCCCGAATGGGAAGAGATGGAAGAAGTGTTGGTCTCCATGGACGTGGACGGTTGGGAAATCTATGTGAAGGAGACCCGACCCAAAGGGCAACGGCTTCCCAACGAAGTTGACCCCGCACGTGCACAAGTCCCACAGGCTCCTACGGTGCAGGATGATGCCAATGTGGCCTCATCGAACTGGCAGCTTTTGGAGTCCGTGGATGCTGCACTGCCGGGGGAACCCGAGCACTTTGAACCGCATGAGATCAAAGAGCCGGAGATGGATGGTGAGCTCATCGACGCCATCCTCAAGCCCTTCTTGGATCGGTTGCCGGGTGTTTCCGACGAGCGTGACATTGACGAGCCGGACGCTGACGAGGAGATTGTCTTCAGAGAACCCATTGTCGGCGGCTCAGCATCAATGTTTAGCCAGCGGAAGCTGCGCTCCCATCTGATGAACAAGATCCATGCTGTGGACTTCAAGTTGGATGGTTCTGGCGTAGTGAACATCTTGGACACCGACGTCACACGTGACCCTGCCAAGCTCGAACTTCGGCAGGAATCCATGCAGCAGACCGAGAGTGGTGCAGTCATCATTCGTCGCTTTGACTTGACGGATGAGGAGAAGCATCGTCAGATGGAAAGGGAGATCTTCGAGGAGCCCAAGACCGCCGAGGAGAAACTTCGCGCGGGTGACCCTGCTGCCACTGTCCAGATCATGTCGAAGGCCAAGTCGAAGGCGGCTTCCTCATCCGAAGCGGCATCATCTTCGGCCGGCATCGCACAGGTGATCGGGGACACTGTCAGCCAATTCATCAAACCCAAGATGAGGGATCAGGCTACCATGATTCAGCCCAAGCCTGCTCCGCGGCTCCCAAAGGTTTCAACGGCGACGGGAACGTCTCCTATGGCGTCCCCAAAGCCCAGTCCGCCACCGACTCCGAAGAGTGCAACTGGATCCCCCAAGCCGGAGCCACCTGCACTCCCAGCGGAAGCTGCGGACCATCCTATGCCCAAAGCTTTGCCTTTCAAGGCACCGCCTGCTACGTTGACAACAACCTCACCGAGGGCACCTCCGCAGAAGTCATCGGCGCCTGCAGCTACGTCTTCGTCGGAGCCTGCCCCGAAGATGGCCAAGAAGGAGCCGCCTATGGCAAGTGCTCCTCCCCCGGGAACGGGTGGACCTCAGCCTCCGGCTGAACCGCCCTTGCGACCAGCTGGGTATCCCAGATGGTACTTTTTCTCCCCGGGAACGGGCGAGCGCAGGGAGTTCACCATCCGGTGTACTGAACTGCCTGGCCTGAGGGATCTTGGAAGACTCGGTCACGACGACTTCAAGTTCTCCAAGCGGGTCACTGGGCTGCTGCGCGGCTATGACCACAAGTTCCTCGAGGCGCACCATCGCCATATTCCTCCTGAATTTGATGAGGAGCTGTACTTGAACTTTGAGTCCATGTACACGTACCTCAGGAAGCGGCATCGCGCTCAGCTTTCGCGACAGGACCTCTACCTGATCCTTCGAACCCAGGACAGGTTCATGTGCCGCATTCAGGCTGGAATTGTCGGGGAACTGACAACCATGGACATGCCGTACCGCATCACGCATGTTAAGGCCTGCCAAGGCCATGACCAGTCCCTCATCGACAAGGTGGGAACGGCTCCATTGGTCAAGCAGATCATCTCGCTTGACTACTAGTTCACGGTCGAGGACTTGAAGAAGGGATTCTACCCCAGGGTCCCCATTTATCCTCACCTGGCGGAAGCCGAGGTCTCAGAAGAGTTCAAGGTTATTTACCATTACACTTCATGGGACTCCCTCCAGCAGATCATTTGCACGGGGATTTTTCCAGGGGCCACTTCATGCAAGGGTCATGTGTATATGACCCGCCATGCGCCTTGGGAAATCGAAGGCAAGGATCCTGGTGTCAGGACGAACCGACCGCTGTGCATCGCGATCGACACCGATTGTGCTCTGCACTATGGTCTTCGCCTGGTGGAAACCTTGGCCGGTGCACTCATCACTGAGGACTGGGTGCCCAATCATTGCCTCATCTACGCATTCGATTGCGAGAAGTCGCAATACCTTTGGGCGAACCATGGCTACAACGGGGTGAAGAAGTACCTTCGGCAGAAGGCCTCCGAGAACGCTCTCACTTGGCAAGAGAACGAGGCTCGGAAGGGCACTCCCAACTACGACGAACTTGAGAGGTACGAGATTTCGGACCTGGAGGTGTTGAAGAACATGTTCGTGAATGAGTACGATCAGTGGAAGGATGTCATCACTCTGCGACGTCCGCTCATTTACAAGGAAGTTCCGACACCATATCCTGTTGTCGATGAGTTGCTGCCGAAGATCAAGCAAAGGCCGCTCAACTTCACCAATCTCCTCTGTGTGGCACGCAAGCCGACGGCAACTGCAGCTGGCTTCGACATCGCCCCTGACAACGCGCGGGAACGCCGTTCTGATCGCTTCGATCAGGAGGCATTTGACCCATCCGCGGAGGGGAACCTCACGCGCTGGCGGTATGTTTCAATGTTGGCAATGCCGGAATTGACATGCCCCCGGTGCAGGAAGATCTTTCCTGAGGGGATGTTGGTGTGCCTCGCATGCGGCTTGTCGCTGGCGACAATGTCCGACATGCGTCGTGCATGTCAGGTGTTCCGCCTGGAAGAGTTGGCCGAGAAGCTGGGCTTCGAGCTGACGTTGGACCTTCTGGGCGATGACGATGTAGCAGGCACCACCCAAGGTGCCAAGCAGATCAGATCTGCTGCTGCAGTCCTCAAAAATCACGCCCGCTCATACATGAAGCAGGCGAGAAAAGCAGGGCTGACTTTGCTACAGCGTCTGGGAACGGACGCCCACTACGCCTTCAATTGTGCGGTCCAAGACCTTACACCTCGGTGTATGCATTGGATTACCGTTTTGGGCAACGTGGTGCTTCCCTCCATCAAACGCACCCGCGAGGAGATCCGAACTGGAAAGATTCGGCAGTACAAAGCGCGTATGTGCATGGTCGCATACGAGGAGGAACAGATGAA